TTAGGTCAAGGCACAAAAACTACTTGGCTATAGTTACGAACAGATCATGTTTTGTCTTGAAAAACTATCCCAGCAGGAAACACAGCAGTGTTTCTGTAAAAAAACAAACTCTTTTCATGGCGTCCCAGCTCGAAATGCACTGATGTCTTGGTAAAAGAAAAAAACAACACTTTAGGCAATGTCTCAGCAAAACCACCTCAAGGCATTATACCAGCAGGAAACGCAGCAAAGAAACATTTGTTTTTCATGACAAAAAAAAGCTTTTTGTCGCACTAATCTGGCAGGAAATGCAGCAATGGCTCAAAATGTAGTGATATCTGGGTTAGAAAATAAATGAATGAAAAAAGCTGCAGTTTGTGGCACTATCCCATCCAGCAGGAAATACAGCAACGTCTTTGTAAAAAAACAAAAAATGGCACAATCCAGCAGGAATCGTAGCAATAATTCTGTAAACCAAAAAAGCGCTTTTCATGGCACCCCAACATGAAATGCACTGATCTCTTGGTTAAAGAGAGAGAAAACACTTTTTGTGGCACTATCATGGCTAAAAATAATATCTTTGTAAGAAATAAAAAATAAATCACATTTCTTGGAACTATCCCAGCAGGAAACGCAGCAATGGTTCTGTAAAAGAACAACTGCTTTTCATGGCATCCCAGCTCGAAATGCCCTGATTTCTTGGTAAAAAAAAAAAGAAATAAAATAAAATAACAACCCACTTTTCATGGCACTATACCAGCAGGTAATGCAGCAATGTCTCAGCAAACGACCAATTTTCATGGCATCCAAGCTTGAAATGCAGTGAAGTCTTGGTGAAAGAAAAAAAATAACACTTTTGGCAACGTCTCGGCAAAAAAAGACCGTTGTTCATGGCACTATACCGGCGGAAACGCAGCGCTGTCTTTGTATTAAAAAAAACAACAATTTTTGAAGGCAACACGGCTTGAAATGTGGAGATGTCTTGGTAAAAAAACAAGTTTTTTGTTGCACTTCGTCAAGAAACGCAGCGATGTCTCACTAAAAAACAACCTTTCTTGGTGGAACCATCCTGACTAAAAACGCAGTGATATCTTGGTAAATGTCTCAGCAATAAAAAAGACCGCTTTTCATAGCACTGTACCGGCAGCGATGTCTTTGTAAAAAAAAAAAACGCTTTTCATGGCATCCCAGCTCGAAACGCAGCAATATCTTGGTTAAAAACAAACAAACAAACAAAAAAACAGCTGCTCTTCATGGCACTATACCAGCAGGTAACGCAGCGATGTCTCAGTAAAAAACACCCACTTTTGGCGTTACTCTCCCCTCTCAAAACACAGTGATACTCTGTGAAAAAACTGCTTTTCAACAAGTTGCTGAAACACAACCATTTTGTCATTTGTTGGTCTCAAATGGTGGTCTGCAGTTTGGCAGGCATCTCTTCTAGATGTCACAGCATCCACTATTACCTCCTCCTCTGAATGCCAGTCAGCTCACATACTGTGTCACTTTAGAAACACTGATATGATGCATACGACACGAACAAACAACATATTCATAGTTTGCAGAAACATACCAACATTGTCTTACATGTTTGGGCTCTATTTCTTTTTCCTTTAAATGCATGTTTATACATGTTGCTGTATGCATTTACTTGTAATGAAATGCCAGTTTAAATATGACTGTAATACCTGAAACAGTGACTTCACTCCCCACCATCAGAGAGCTGTCAGGTGGAGTCTCCACCACCAGGTTTCCTCAGTGAGTGCTCCTCAGACTTTGGCCTCATATTTCTCACATTGTACAGTGTGACATTTGCGTTGTCTGAACTTCACAGTCCTTCAAAGCAGAGATTAAAGGAACACACAGAGAGTGACAGGTGGAAATTACTAACTCAACTGCTAAAGAAGGGAGGATCGATGATTTACAGAAGAAGAAGAATGCTGATGATCAATCACGGGATGTTAATGGCATCATGACACTTTTGAGTAGCTGATAAAAAAATAGGTTTGAAATTGGCCTAAACTGTGTGAAGCAAATGAGTAAATAACAATACATTTTGACACGTTTGAATAAATTATCAAAATCCATTTTGTATTTATAAATATTTTACTCTTCAAATCCAAAATGTAACCCCTAATCACGACTTATCTTTGCTCCCTTACGACTAAACTTGTCCCCCCGTGCTAAACCTCTTATCAACACAAACATCCAGAAACCATTTGCATGTCCAACGTTCAGCTGACTGAAAGGGTCCAGTATGTGTCATTCTATGACGAGGTGTCATTAACACTTATGCTTTTCATGCCTTTTCTTACTATTTATGCACACCCACACTTTGTCACAAACACACACCCTTGAGTGTGTTATGCAAGAGGCAAGAACACGCTGCATGTTATTAACCATGTGTGTCAAACAAATGTCTTTCAGAAAACAAACATAAAACACAAACACGTCATATTCACATATTTTAGTGATTCGTCATCGGTTAACAAAACCAACATAAGAGACAAAAAGTGCTTTTTCTTAGAAACTAAACACAGACGGAACACGAGGAGGGAACAAGAGGACTGAGGTGAATTTTTCCTGAGAAACTGTCACATTAAACTCACAGGGTTTCTCGTCAGAGCCTGTGAGTCAGGACACTGGGATGGTGAAAACAGATAATGTAAGATAAAGACTGCTGTCCTGGCCCACACAACAGATGCTCAGTGCTCAATGACTGAAATGGACGAACCCACATTTGTGTCCGTCTGAGCGGTGCAGTGCAAAAACACAACGCTCAAACCTCAATGATGTCACAGCCTTAAATTCAAGTATATCTAATACACATATGTAGTTACTATTTACCCACTAACTGGTGTGTCATCAAGAAACGTTCTTGGTGTATTAATAGACTGAGCCATCATATTTAAAATCACACTTTAAAGGTATACCATGCAGGAACTGTTACTGTTTGTGAACAGTATTACCAGCTGCAGATTCACTCTCATTTTGGAATGTGCTTTGTCTGCTTTGCATGTCGCCTCTCTATATTTGCATTTTTTGGCACTGTGTGCGCAACAGACCCTTCGCTAAGCCCCGCCCCTTTGTCATGGTCCAACATGCTGTCAGAGTAAACATGGCACAACATTTAGCTCCAAATCCACAACACCAGCCTGAAAATGAAGGAAATGTGACACAATGCAGCACAGCTGTGTTGTTGTCGGACCCTGGCCTGAGCCGGCTCGATGCTCTGCTATGATTGGCCAGTCTGCATCCAGGGGCGGGATTAGCGAAGGGTCAATTTTCGTAGCTTCATCTTGGATGTGTGCTGCTTACGGTCTGGCACCTTGTCTCTACCTTTTTATGAAGTCCTGACCTGACCTGAACACTGTGCCATCAAACGTCCCAAACACAGCAAAATATGATGGAAATAATAAAATACAGGCAGAGGGCAGAATCTCTGCAAATAAATACACCAGCACACACTTCTCACTGATCATAAGTAATGAATGACAGGGATTACTTTTGTATGAGTCCTGCATAGTACACCCTTAACAGTCCATACCAGTGTTTTGCATGTTTTAATCCAGTTATTAAAAATTATTTGCCCTTTAAATCACTGCAGACAGTGTCCTGTAGGCCGACAAAAACATTTCCTTTAATGGAAAATATTTCCTATGTTTCTATCTTAAAGGAGCAGTGTGTGAGATTTAGGGGAATTATAGTGGCGTCTAGCAGTGAGGAGTGCAGATTGCAACCAGCTCAAACTTCTCCTGGTTAGAATTCCTTCAGTGTTCATTGTTGAGGAGGTTTTCACTGGGAGCAGAATTATCCACAGAGGTCTCTTCTTCTCCAAAACAGACCGACCAGGTGACTTAAAAAATGTGAATGGACCTATCTGGAGCCAGTGTTTGGTTTGTCCGTTCTGGCGGAGGAGCAGCTCTGTGTAGATTAACGGCTCATTCTAAGGTAACAAAAACACAATGTTTCTAACTTTAATGTGATAATACACTAAAGAAAACATACTAATTATGATATTGTCCATTTCTGCCAATATATCCCCCTAAATCCTACACACTGGACCTTTCATTGACCGTTTGCTAAGCCCCTGCTCACTTGAAATTCTTTTGGAAATAACGGTTTGTTTGTTTCAGACAGAAGTGGACAAAAGCAGCTTTTTATTTTCAGCTGATGACAGTCAGCCTTGCTGGCTGATATAACAGCCGCTGCTGAAAATGATCATTTGTTATAGCTAACAAAGCTAACGTTAGTATCATGACTTAGTTGAAAATGCTGTCTCAGGACGACTTTTTAATGTTTGAAACTGAGCCAGTAATAGGCTCTTTAAACCAACATTGTCAGATATTGTCGAGGGCCAGCTTCACAAATAGCAAAAGAATTAAGGGATATGGATGTTTGAAATACAGATTGAATGGTAAAAACTGGTTTAGTCACTGTGGAGATATCAATGTCTTAAGTCAAGAAAACTGTCTTGCCCCCAAAAAGTACAACATCAATAAGGCTACAAACTAGTGCTGCTCCCTAATGGTCGACCGAACGTTAGTCGACCAGAAAGGTCATTAATCAGAAAGATTTCATTGGTCGCTTAGTTGCAGAAAAAAAAAGTGAAACTCTATTAGGAGCTGCACCTTGTCAAAATAAATCCAAACCTATATGACTGGACCATGTGTGACTTTACTTTGAAAGGACAGACACAGGAAGTGTCCTCTTCAGGTTAATTTCCAGGGCTGGTACCTGCGGTTATTCCACAGGCTAGTTAATAACATGTCGGGCAGGAAATCCAAAGTGTGGGATCATTTTGAGAAGGTGAAGGACGAACCCAAGGTGATATGTAAACTCATCTTCATTGGTCGACTACAAACATGACGTATCATCTGAAACATGGAAGTAGCTACATGTCCATTAGCCCACAGCGTCATTAACAGGCGGCTCGCTCAGTGTGTGACGTGCACTTGGAGATAAAATATAGGCCTATATTAATGAAGGTTCATTAGTACGGTTTGTATTTCTCTGTAATGTAGCACAGTGTTAACAATGTTACTGATACTATTCTTTCTCACACCTTCAACTCAAACCACCAAAATATTACTAACTCTACCTTTAACATTAGCAACTTAGCTAACACTCTCAGATGAGCAAGACAGTGGTTAGATTTATGCTTTAATTGTATTTGCATTTTCAATGAGTGGATTTTACTTTTAAAGAAAGTAATGACGAGTTAGTGTTGTAGGGAGTAAGCCAGTTGGCCATGCTAATGTTTGCAGCTTATGTTAGAGCAGATAAACACTCAGTTTGATCCATTCCTTTCACACTTTTGCTCTGGTGATTTTGTAAATTAGTCAGAATCCTTATATACTTCATATATCTCTCTAGCTGCAGCCATGCCCACCTCTGCTGTGCATAGTTATGGTAGTTAAGCTACGAGCTGTTTGGGGCGGGGGCTTTAGCAAACAGTCAATTAACCATTTTTAATAAACTGTTAATCAAGCTTTTTTCCTGACTCTACCAAATATGTTCAAACCCCATGTTTGGGCCCTGAACTCTGAAACAGCCTGTGTCCTGCACAGCTGTTAGACCGGCCCGCTGCGTCCACTGCTTGTGTGCTCACAGGTGACGCTCACACCATCCTGGACGTGAGGTCAGACAAACGCAGCAAAGGAAAGTCAGTCTCTTCACTGGAAGTCTTCCTCTGGTTTCCGAGGGCCGACCTGTGCGTGTTAAACTCCAATCACCTGGTGTCTGAGCGCCTCAGGTTGCCTGTTTGTCCGGGTGGCTCTTTAGCTTGTGGAATTTAACACTGTCCAGCTTCTCGAACCTCTTCTCACAGAACTCACAGGTGAAGTTGTAGTGCGCCTCCGGAGTGTGCTTCTTCATGTGCCAGTTCAGGGACGCACGCTGGCGACACTGGTAGCCACAGATTTCACATCTGACAGATGATGTGGGTGAGAAGAGGAGGAGGAGGGAACAGGAGAGAAAAGAGAGGAGTGACAATCATGTAGATGATTATGGACTGTGTTCTATTTATGATTTTATTATCTTCCAGATTCCAGAGTCCAGTAAACCTAAATTTTCAGATAAATCCCAAAATGTCACAGTGTCACCTGCTTAGTGGGGATGTCACAAGAACAGATACTCCCGTACCAACTCAATGTCATATTCCTGAAAACATGACAGAACTCTTTCTTCTCCTGACGAGGCGCCACAAACGCCTACAAGTGTTCTAGTCTGGGGTTAAATGCCAAAGAAAGAAGAAGAACGCCTACTAGCACGAAGAACAACCAAGCCACCAGGAAGAGCGCCAAGCCTGAAGCCAGTTTTACATAGTGGCTAAAAGTGGAATTACATCGTCCGGGTCTGTCACGTGATGCCACTGGGCCCAAAAGGACTTTCCCCCATACACTTACATTGTGACAGAGATGTGTCTGTGAATCAGTGATTACATTTTTTTGAACTTCACAACCCCTGTGAAAGGATTGTTTTTACTATCAGGATTTGATCCACTCGGTCTGTTAACACTTGGAAAGTCTTGAAGAGCTGTACAATTAAATTATTTTAACCCTATTTAAGATAGCAAAGTGCTAAACTAGGAATTAACCAGCAGAAGTTAGCTGCTTGGTCACACTCAGCCACCTAGCACGCTTTTTATGGGCCCTGTACACGTATTTTATAATTCTGCGTTGAATCGATGCCGTAGCTACGGTGTAGGCTCCATGTTGACGTAGAGCTTACAACAGCGACAGACAGGAGGTCTGCGTCACCGCAATGCGTAGTTTCAATTCTTGGGAGGTGCATGTCCCCAGAATTGAAACTACGCGTTGCGGTGACGCAGACCTCCTGTCTGTTTCTGTAAGCTGAAACCATTTCCCTCAGTGGAAACAAAGCTTTGATTTACTTTAATTTCACAGATAAGAAACAATAAATTGTGAAGACAATAAAGCCTCCACTAAAATAGCATTTTAAGTCTTGTGTGTGATTTATCCTGGCTTCATATGAGCAGAGGAAATCTCTGCTAGCTGCTAGGCTAATTTATACAATGTAAAATGCCATAGGCTTGTGCTAATAACGTTAGCATGTTGTCAGGGCTGCCAACTCTCACGCATTGGCCCGTGAGACACACATATTTGATTGGCTTCACACGCTCTCACGCCACACCCCCGATTTATCACGCTGAAGCGTCCGTCTGAGCCAAAACAAAAAAAGTCCCTGTTTCAATGCGCAATACACGTCCCGACCGCTACATTGGATGTTGGTGGCACTGTGGCCCAATTGACACCGGGATTGCACTCAGAAGAAGAAGAAGAAGAGGAAGAAGAAGACTGATTTCCCCCGCTCTTTTCAGGTATGTATGTTAAGTGTTTGTGCTCTTAAACTTTAAGTAACGTTTGCATATTTGTTTTTTGTGTGTTGTAAGATCATTTAAAGGCATTTCGAGAGCTTTGTACATATTATTTTGAGGTTTCAATGCAGCTGTAAAAGTATACTGTAGGTTGATGCCTAATTACTTTTGTCTGTTTTATCTATACAAAACCATTCCTCTATGCTGCTTTATAATTGTATATTAATTACTGTATATATAGTAGTATATACAAATTAGAATAATTTGTTATGTATGTATAAAGCATCATATACTGTAGGTGCGTACATTTTGTTTTAGACAAAATTAATTATCAACCTTTACTCATCTTTCAAAAGGAATGTGAATCTGTTCATGAGGCTTGCCACCATTGCAAAGCTGGTCCTGGTGTTACCCCACTCCAATGCAGATGCAGAGAGAGAGACTAAAACCTGGAACAGCCTGGCTCTGGATGGAACCCTGTCATCAATAATGACAATAAAGATGGCTGGCCTGGAGTCCTGCTTCATGTGGGAGCCCTCCCCAGAAATCATCAAGGCCTCAAAAAAGGCCACAAGCAAGTACAATAAAGCACACAGATCTTAAGGACTTTGACAGTAGCCTCCCTATTTTGGGAATTGTTTGTATAAATGGTTAAACTTTTTTTTTTTTTTTTTTTTTTTTAATTTATTAAATGTTTCTTGCATGATGTTGCATATCTGTTTACTATTTGATGACTTTATTTTTATACAGAATCCCAAAGTAAACATGCACAAATTTGAGCCATGCTGTGTCTTGTGTCTTACTGTTGGGTCAATTGGTTCAATTGGTACACTCTGAGTTAGGCTAATACATTGAGAACTGCTTGATTATTGGAAAATGGTATTTTTAAAAATATATTAACAATATAAAAAAAATTTTTTTGCTGTATGGTAATGATGCTGAATGGGCCATACAAAAAATTGCAGTGTATGTGGCAAAATTTCAGTTGGCCCCACCAAATCTCACTCCAAGGTTTTTGAAAAGTTGGCAGCCCTGTGTTGTATTTGTTTGGAAAACGTGTTTAGTATAAGACAGTTGTTTTGTCAGTGAACCTTGTGAACTGTAATGGAGCCAAACTGTGTAACGTTACCTTTGTTAAATGTTGCTGTTGTCCCTGGCTTCATATGAGAAGAGGAAAAGAACGCTAGCTGCTAGGCTAATTTATACAATGTAAAATGCCATAGACTTGTGCTAATAATGTTAGCATGTTGTATTTGTGGGGACAATGTGTCCAGATAAAGACAAGTGTTTGTCTGTGAATGCTGCGAGTTATAGTGAAGCTGATTTGTGTACTTGTGTTTGAAACTCTCTCTCTATTAAGCCATGTTTAATGTGTGTTTAATGTGTGTTTAATGTGTGTTTTGAATCAACTAAACTTTACAGCACTTAACAGAAACTTCTGCCGCCGACTAGTGTTCTGGAGGTGTAACTGCAGAGTGACACAGACACACCACCACAGAAGTAAAAATGCTCCCAACGGCATAGGCGACGTGCATAGGGTCTACGCACAACCATAAATCCCCTTTACCTTTTATAGGAGTGACTTGGCTATGGCGTAGGGTACGGCGTCAATACGGCACAGACATATAAATCCTGTGTTACATGTACAAGTGCTGACCAACAACAACAATGGAGGAGAAATATGTAAATATACTGTAGGCTCCATATTAATTCCTCGCCCATAAAATCTCAAAACTCACACAGACTGGTCCTTTGTGTCTGAGGCAGATCATCAGGGATTATAATAAAAATTCAATTTAAATGTTTTTAATAAAGGAGTGTATGTTTATGTACGTGGGATTTATTGTTTTGTTTTTGTTTTTTACCATGGCATCAAATTAGGCATAAGAATCTGGGAATTTCGCTGGTATTGGTATCAACCACTAAATTTCTGGTACCGTGACACGCCTACTGCTCAGAGGAAAATGTGAAAAGATAAAATGTGTTTCCAGCTGTAGTAACTTACTGCAGTGGAGTTTCTCCCGTGTGTGTTCGCCTGTGAACCTCCAGGTGATTCTTACGCTTAAACGATTTCCCGCACGTCTCACAGATGAAATCTCTGACCCCTGTAAAAAGACTCTGTTACATTTGGAGGTTTATGAAAATGAGATTCTGACATGTGCGTCTTTGTGAGCCCACCTGAATGAATGATCATATGGCGGTGCAGGTGGTTCGACAGGTAGAACTTTTTCCCGCAGCCTGGATGGGGGCAAACCTTCGTCCTCCCTTTCCTGTGAACCAGGTTGACGTGATTCTGCAGAGAGAAGAGAGTGAACCAAAGAGCGAAACAAACTGAAGCTGAAATGTAAAGTATGAATGATGAGTTTTACCTGGAAGCTGCTGATGGCGACATAGACTTGACTGCAGCCCTCGTAGGGACAGTGGAACATCTTGAGCATCCCGTCTGCCTCGATGACTGGGCCTCGCCGGTTCCTCTTTGACCTGACGCTGCAACAACAGACAGGACAGTAACTGGAGTTGGACTGCCATCTCTGCTGCTACTAGACTTGTCTGAATGTCACCTGCTCTCGAATTCACCATGTAGAGTATGTGGACCACTCACCTGCTGAGACCTCGCTGCAGCTCTCTGTCACTACTCAGCTCCAAAGCATCAACAGCGGGCTGCAGCAGCTGCTTGTCGCTCAAACCTGCACAGAAATGGTTCAAAACTGATCACACAATGAGTCATGCGAGTATTAGCTGAATCAAAATATTCACCCTCCTGAGCTGAGGACTGGGTACTTGAGGACATTTAGCCATGTGCGGTGCGGTGAGTAGGCTGTGTCTGCACACCATTTGACAGTTACGTAACGGCTAGGGCCGGGAAAGCTGTTTAAAGAGGGTGTAATCTATCAGCTAGCAGCGGCAACCACATAATTGTCTGCTGGAAAAACAAATAACAATGTCGGCCTACAGGGCGAAAGCCATGGTAGTCTTCCTAGTTGACAAATATTTGCCAGCATGGACGGCAAAATGCACGGGGATAGGGATGGTCATGGTGACGTAAATGTGTTAAGCAGAGCACCAGCACACTGAAATGGAGCGGACCCACTATGAGCACCATCGTGCAACTTGTCAATCACAGGGAGCCACACCCTGAAGCATACCTGTGTTTTATTGTATATTTGACTCTGAATGGGACCATAGTTTTCAAACTGAACATCGTGCAGATCGAGACCATAAACTCATTAGGGTAAAGTTACTGAGGTAATAAAGCAGTCCCTCCAGGATGTTGTGATCGTATCAATTAACACAAAATCAGCCAGTCCCTGTGAAGTCTGCATGACCTTGCAATTTGACCATTTAAAATGGGTAAAATCTCATTTCACGTTGGAGCTGCTTGCAGTGCACTGATCAGCTCAGTCCCTCTCTCTCCCTCAATTCAATTTCACATATCACAAGTTGCCTCAGAGGGATTTACATCATACAACATCCCTCTGTCCCTGGACCCTCTCTGTTTATAATGAGACTACTGCTGCGGGACCGGCGCTCTGTTCCTGGGACAGAGTCACACACAAAGTGACAGGGCTAACTGTTTGATGTTAGCATCAAACGGCTAACATCACCGTTTCGGTGTTGGTGTAAGATCAACAGCTCGATGTCAGATGTCAACTGCTGCTGCAAGGTTTCAGCCCGAGTGGCAAAATATGACGAGCATGGATGACATCACGCTGTGCTGTGTTAGCTCATGCTAACCAGGCAGGAGGACGGCAACTCATGAAGACAGTCCTTTGGCGCTGCATACCAACAGCTTGCAAAATCCTGGAGGGACTAATAAATCAAGTGAGTAGTAGGGTCATCTTCTCATAGACTTCGGCCCAATCCCAATACCCCTCCTTGTCCACTACCCCTAGCTCTTGCCCACTACCCCTTGGCCCTCGAAATGAAGCAACGAGGGGTAGGGGTTGAAATCTTTCCCTAGGAATTGGGACACCACTCACTACGTCACCGCGTTGGTTACGTTTACGCATATGTCACTATTTTAAACAGGAAGCTGCGAGCCATCTACATTTCCAACCGGCATCTACAGTGGAGTCTCATTCATCCTACCAATCACGTTTGCTGCATTCATCATGCTTCGTTTGATGAACGACAGACGACAGGGGACTTCTGCTAGCTAGCTAACCAGCTAACATTACGAGGCAGCATTGTTATACTAGCCTGCGTGTTAACGTAATGTGAAAAGTCTGACAATTTTGCAGATCAGGACAGATGACAGACACCAGATAGTGCGAGCTAGCTAGCTAGCTAACAAACAACCTGACGACGGTAACGTTAGCTATGTATGAACGTTTTTTCCCTGTCTCTTGCTCGGTGGTAGCCATGGCGACATCTACCCCTTGCTGGCAAGTCAGCATCTGAAATCCCTCGCTCCGTAGGGCTAGTTACTACCCCTCATTATGCCCCCTATCCCTACACGCAAAAAGGAACTGGGACACCACTACCCCTCGCGGGAATGCGCAAATGTAGGGGTAGGGCCAAGGGGGGGTATTGGGACAGGCCCTTCGACATAATCAGACTTATTTTAGAAACCAGTGGAGCCACCTCCTACTGGCAATTAGAAAGAATGCAGGTTGAAGGCACTTGCGCATTGGCTTTGCTTTTCAGACCAGAAGATAAACCCCTGCTTTTATCGTACTAGTTAAGTCTGTAAGGGAGCCAAGAGGGAGCCAGTTCATAACTCTATGCACACTGATGATGATATGACACATGCTGGTTCTAATTATGTTCAGGAAAGGATATGGAACATATGGCAACTGGTAATTTATAGCATCAGACTTTGATTGTTTATAAAGGAGTGTCTTTGACTCCTAAACATCCTAAACACATTGGTTCCCTCTTTACTGAGGTGCATATCAGTATCTCCTGCTTATGACAAAATATCTTTTGATTTCATCCACATTATACAGCTTACAGAGCCAACATTATGCATATTACATAAAATTATGGATTTCTACAGACTCTTTAAAAACTTTAACTTTGTGGTTCACCTACAAAATGTTGCTGAAGCAGATGCACAGCTCAAAGCAGCTCTGCACACATTTAGTGGCATGGCTGTGGGGTCATTTGGATTGACGCAGATCTTGTTGATGCCAACTTTGACTTTAACATCAGGGTGCAGAACACACACAATATGCTGGTTATACTCTTATCACTGCTGAGATCAAATGTTAGGATATTTGCTTAAAACAAACACACAGCTATTCATCTCCATGTACTTGTACGTGACTCTTCCATAATAGTAAGCAAATGAATGATCATGTTTCATGTCTGAAAAGGAGTAGGAGGAAGTGAATACCTAAAATATTATCTAACTAGTCCATACCCATGGAGTGCACAGTTGCCCACGTACAGTTTCACATGGTGTGTGTTTGGGATACAGGTCATAGGAAGTTGCAGATTAAATAGTCAACTGAACCCATTAAGAAGAGCAATGTATTCAGAGTGTTTGTGAAGTTGACAGTACGATTGCTGGGCTACAGCTGATGTCCGTTTGAGGTGGATACATATATCAACACGCGTGCGCAGTAACTCGTGGAGTGAATGCATACAATTCAATTAAAAGCACTGTGATTATGTACAGCATACCATACCATGACTTAGTCATACCAAAAATTAGAAAAAACACCAACATTGGTCCACAGGGGGAGCCACAGCTATCGGTCACATTTTAGCCATTTTGAAGCATTTTTCTGTTGTTATAGCGCCACCCAGTTGCCAATTAGAGTTAAATTTCTCCAGTCACCTTGAGTCGTCCTGTTCTACATATCTACCAAGTTTAGTAAAAATCCATATGGCGGTTAGGCCTAGATAAGAAATGAGCTCTCTAGCGCCCCCATTTTGTTTGATGGGGTCAATAATGGAGGGGTCCCCTCAGATTATGTGTGGTCATATGCCTACAAAGTTGCGTGGTGATGGGTGAAACCCTTGAGATGTTATACACCTTTATGTGATGAGCCACGCCCCCCGCAATATTCATTGCCTTATAGAAGCTCAGTTTTAGTAAGTTTTCCAACTTTTGCCAAGAGGGAACTTTAGATATTGGTCCCTAGATTATGTTCACCCAGTTTCATGCAGATCGCTCAAACTTCCTAGGAAGAGATCCATTTGAAGTGTTTTTCAAAAAATTCAAAATGGCGGAAAATCTATATAAGCGGAAGTTATGGGTTCTTGAGGCAAATGTGTTCCTCATGAGGAGAGGCATCTCTGTGCAATGTTTCATGTCTCTACGACATACGGGGCATGAGATATTTGACATTTCAATCGGTTGCTATAGCGCCCCCCTTTGGCCAATTGATGTAATATTGCTTCATTGGCATCCTCCTATGACCCTCTACCACTGTGCCAAATTTCACATGGATTGACCAAGTCAGTCGGAGAAAAACGTGGAACACACACACACACACACACACACACACACACACACACAGAGTGTTCATCATTATATAGTAAGATCCTTCAGTTGCCAATGGAAAACGACTTTTTAACTTCCCCCATAAAGATTTTTAATTGTTTCAAACTACAATAGATTTAGGTCTACTGATACTTTTGTGCTCATGCTATAGTTTTAAACTTCTGTAGCTCCAGTGCTGTGTGCAAAACCTTAACGTACAGCCCTGCTGTGCATCTTATTATTTTCATTTACATGTTGTGCAGCTGTGCATTTCAATCAATTATCCACCCTGCAACTCAAACTGCTGCTGACCTGTCATGGAGTCTTCATCCTCCGCTGTTCTGAGTTTTGAGTCAGATGTGCAAACCTGGTTGTAGGTGACCCCCCCGATGACAGTGCAGGTGACTTCCTCCACGTTTCCGCCGCCCATGTTGAGCTGGATGCCTTCTGACGCCAGAGCCTCATAGCTGGGGCCAGTGATGATGATTAACTAGGGAATAAAAAACAATTGGTAGCTTTTGATAAAAGATACAGAACACTCCTTGATGTACAGATTTCTTTCCCTTAGAACGAGCAGTTTATGTCTGCATAGGAGCAGGTCCTCGTTTATGGAGATTGCCATGTTGTACTGCCATGTTTCTACAGTAGCCTAGAACGGGGTTTGGTTTGGCCCAGCAGCTCATCTCTGACATGCCAAACAGTGTCACAGAAACACTGATTTGTAACGTGTAACTGCTTTATTCAGTTTTGATCACCAGGTCTGTCTGTTTTGAGGAGGAAGAGACCTCTGCGGATAATTCGGCTCCCCGTAAAAACCTCCTGAACAAAGAACACTGAAGAAATTGTAACATGGAGAAGTTTCAGCTGGTTGCCATCTGCAGTCCTCACTGCTTGATGCCACTAAATCCTCCTAAATCTTACACACTGGACCTTTAAACATCCCTGGCAGGCACTTCTTCACCTACCTGTGAGCCTTCCAAAGCGGTCCTCTGGTCAGGAATCTCACAGCTGGTCACCACCGTCTGCAGAGTCTGCGGGTCAAACAGCTCGCTCTGCTCTTGCACCTGCATGGGCGGCGGGACCGACAGCTCCGGCTGAGCTCCCAGTCCGACTGAGTGGCTCAAGCTCTGCGACAGCACCGAGTCCTCATCCGTCTTCTCCAGTTTATCAGTTAATGATGCCGTCACTGTAACACACTCGTATCCGTGCGGTACAGTCCTGATCTCTTCTTCTCTGTCTCCTTCTCCGTCTCTGCCTTGCCGCAGGTCCTCAGCCTCCTCCTCTGAGGGGATGGAGTGAAATGCTGCAGCGGGGGAGCCTTGCTGTCGCTCCATGACCATCTCCATCTCCCACACAGGCTGTCCTGTCAGTGGAGCATCCTTGGAGGTCTCTACACTGGGCTGGTGGTCGACAGCTGCAGCATGTTCTATCGGACTCACGGTTGTATGCTGTACCTCAGAAACATCCACATTTTCTCCCACATCTACAGAAAAACAGATAAATAAAAAGAGCATTCAGGATTTACCTGCTACTGTTAAACATTTAGTCATTGTGTCAACTCAAAGAATAAACCTAATCTGCACCTTTGAACTGTTTGTGAGCCTCCTTTCTTCTCTTCCTGCTCACTGCACCTTTTGTCACAGCCACGTCTGTTTTCCCTGCACTCTGTTCATCGCCCTCTCCGTTCACTCCTTCCTCATGTTCAGAGTCACTCGTCTCCTTCGGTGGTGATGAAAGGTATTGCACAAATGAGTGATCAGAGTCACACTGCCAGATAGCAGCAGTGGAGAAGTTGGGCTGCGGCTCCAGGGCTCTGAGCTGGGGCTCGTGAGGGCAGGAGCGGGAATGCTCCTGGTACCAACACACCAGGCTCTGGAGGCTGGACACACGCTCCTTCCTGCCTGAGAAACAACACAAGTCAGCCGAAAGGAGAAATAAAGAAGAGGATTCCAAGAGAATTTTGTGAAATTTAAATGTTGGTGAGAATACATCCAGAGAACTTAACATTACATCAGAACTGGAATCCAGTTTATTGCCATGTAGGATTTCACATACAAGAAATTTGCTTTGGTGTATCGCTGCGTGACATTAATACAGTAAAAGAAAATGAAAATATATTGCAAAAATCAAGGAACACAAATATAGAATAGGAGAAACTTTTTTTAATATTTTTTAAAATACTGTAAAAAATATTCACAATATATCTGAATTAAAATGAGGAAAGAAAAGAGTCAGTGCAACATTTTTTTTGTGAAAAAGAAAAAGCAAATGTACACAATATTGTTTCCTATAGAAGCCGTTCGAATCCTGCTCACGGCCCTTTGCTGCATGTCAGTCCCCACTCTCTCTCTGTCTCCCCATTTCACTGTCTGTCCTGTCATTAATGGCAAAAAGCCCACAAAAATAATCTTTAAAAGAAAATAATTAAAAGTTACTAAGTTATACCTCTTTGTGCTGCTACTAACGCAGTTTTTTCATTATCTAGTAATATGTTAATTGTTTTGTCAGAAAGTGATGAAAAATCCATGTCACCATTTTCTAAAGCTCAAAATTATGTCCAAAACCAAAGATATTCAATTTCATTTTTGTCACATGAAATAAAGAAAAGCAGGAAAACCTCAGATTTTACGCTGAAACTGAAAAATGTTCTGCTTGAAAAATTGCTTACATGAAAAAGCAGTTAATTTATTTTCTGTCAATCACCTTATCACTTAATCGACAAACAGTTTCAGCTCTAATAAAATCAAGGCTGAAGATTTTTCTCTTTGCTGCTGCCTTTTATTAAATCAGATATTTATTAATTTCTTACACTGCACTGTAACTTTTGTATTTTATACCTGTGTTAGTATTTTTTTAGCTTGTTTTTGTTTTCTATTCCCTGGCTCTATTATTACTTTTGGCTGTTATGCCTTTATTAGACAGCACAGATTAAGCATGGAGAGGTGGATAAGGGATGACATGCAGTCAGTGCGGTAAGGACGATGCCTTTGCATGAGGGCAGCCCAGTGGCTCAGTGGCTAGAGTGGGCACGCCACGTGCAAAGGCACCTTTAATTACATTTTGAATTGCATATAAATGTGGGGTTTTTTTTGCACTTTGTTGTGATGTGTTTGATGTTTTATGTAGCGCACTTTGAATTGACTTGCTGCTGAAATGTGCTGCATAAATAAACTTGTCTTGCCTCGATTCAAAATTTTCACATTTAGGATAAAAAGGATGAGATTTTAAATCTTAGTTTAAGTCAGAGAACTTTGAAATTGGTGCACAAAAACATCAGAAAGCAGGATATGACATCGAAAATACCACAGAGAAGGACCCCCGCTTAATTTGTGTTTGTTGGGCATGGGGCCACTGGCAAGGTGTTCTTTATTTTTCCACACTGAAGACAGCAACCCTACGTAACTGATTTGGGAAATAACCCTGTCTATCTATCAGTGGCACCACTCACCTTTTTTCTGTTTCACTGAGACTTCTGGAGCAATCTTCTTCCTGTAATGCAGCAGAGGTGGAAGAAATACTCAGATCTTTCACTAAAGTAAAAGCAGAAATACCACAGTCAAGAAATACTCTGTTACAGGTGAGAGACATGGATTTAAATTTGTCTTTAGAGTTCAGAGTTTAGAGTAGAAAAATAAATCCAAGCACTAACTACGCAGAATGTCCCATTTCAGAATAATTAGAAAAATCAATGTGTTACTGAATTATGATTATTGATGCATTCATGTGTTCATCAATTAAATGTTGCAGGTGATAAAAGTAGGGTTGATCTGAATAAATGTACATCTGTCATTTGTATATGGTATTATCATAATTGGTATTACTAATTTGAAACTGCAAAATAACTGGAAATAATGTTTTCAAATAAATGTGGTGCAGTAAAAAGTATATCCACTGAGATGTATGAAGTAGAAGTGTAAAGCAGAAAATAGAAATACTCAAGTCAGTGGTGTATGGTAGGTAGGACGGGCCTCGGTGCACATTATTATGATGGGCCCTTGCGCAAGATTTTGCATCTACACTAGTTACGACTTGACATTGGACAACATCAACATTCATGTTACGCAGCACTCCATAGTGCAAATCTGTATATGACCAAAAAACAAACATGATGGCATATATGACAGCTGGCCCCACTTTCTTAATTTAACATGAGTTCTTTTTTGAGTTTATTTCTTAGGTGGCAATCTGAATGAGTTACATGAGCCTGTTCTGTGGCCAACATGCCGTTGAAGGGCCGACTACTGCTCTGTATTGACTTCCTGTTACATTTACAGTTGATTTTAAGCTCCTCCTTGTATACAAAGCCCTACATGAGGCCAAGCTACATCATTAACTCCCTTGTTAACTATTTGCCTCCAAGAACACTGCGATCATCTGCTGCTGGTTTATTGGAGGTTCCAAAAAACAGCTGGAACAAGATCTGGGATGCAGCCTTTGTCAGTGACGCCTCAAAGCTATGGAACACACTTCCTACAGATATCAGGGAAGCTAGCTCGCTAAATATCTTTTTTTTTTATTTTTTAAATATCTGTTCACTTTAGCCTTTAACTCGTTCTGACTTTCCTGATACAGGTCTGAAACTCTTTCTTTTTACTCTTCATGCTGCTGCAATGCTTTTAAAATCTTACTGGATTTTATGATTTGTAGTTTCACAACTCTGTGATTTTATGAATCAGTTAATCCATATTGTTTTAAATGTAATAAAGTTTATTAATACTATGTTTTTTCTTGATCATGTAGAAGAGGAGTGCAATTTTGTTTGGATTGCTTCTGACTATACTATCAAAAAAAGCAAAGCAAAGAAAAATCATGTCGTAGATGAGTTCCTCTTTGAACACAGGTGTAGCTCCAAGGTGGCGATCAGAATCATCTGCAAGCCCCCCATCCCATCACACGGGCCCCACTGCAGACACATGCCTGCACTGTCTGTATTTACGCCCCTGCTGACTGGTTAGATAAAGCAAGATGAAACACAAACTCAGTGAAGCTAAAAAATGGCTACAAAGCAAATAATACTGACTGACAGATCAGAGAGGAAAATATCATAGCAGACTGTTTCCATTAAGACGCGCACGGTGTGTTTGGGTAACGTTAGCTTGAATAAAATACTCACCCGCAGTACTTCTGCTGGTACTTCTCTCCATAGGTGGAGTTGAGCAGGATCAGGTACTCTGCCAGCCCAGCATCACTCAGGCTGGTCCTCCTGCGGAGCTCACTCCACAGCTTGTGCGACTCTCCCAGGTACACCCTCCTCACGTCGTACTTCTTCCGGGATTCAAGTCGCCTCTGTGCTCGGTCGGTGTCCGTGAGCCTGGGTCGTCCCCTGCAGCGCCTCAAAACACCTTTCTCTGGGTCCCCGGCTCGGTCAGCGTCCAGGGGAACGTCCAACTTCGCCAGGTTATGCGCCATCTTGGCCACAACAGCTGTGTTGTGATTACCCGGCATCCCGGAAGTTGTCAGACTTAACAGGAAGTACTAATACAGATGCATTTTCTGAATCGTTTTCCGAACCAGTTGTTTTTAAATTATGCTAAACACAGTCGTAACCCACATGAGTGCATGTCTGTCTAAAAATAAAAAGAAATGTCCGATGTTTGCACGCCGCGAACCGCGGCGGAACGGTCGGGCAAACAACGCGGTTTTCACACGGACCGCAGCAGCACGAACACCAGAGTGCAACATGTAAACAGACGCGGGAAACTTCAGCGTTAATGTCACTGTCTAACGACATAACGTTAGAAAAAGTGGATCAGTCATGACAGACATTTTAACACTCGTGTTCAGGACTTTTATGTCACAGACGGAAGTGAAGAAGGAGCTCACCGTCACTCCTCCGTCACCGTTAACCTGCAGCACGCTGCTGGTCGGAGACACCAGCATCAGCCGCTCCGTGCTGCTGATGGCGGCCGTGACAGCTGCCTCAGAGGTGGGCATGAGAGTCATGTTCTTCACCCAGACACAAATCCAGAGCCTCCCGGTGTGTCTGCAGAAGTGTGTCCCCTGCCTGAGCACAGAGAGTCTAAAGGTACACATCGCTTTCCTCTCAAACTGTGTGCTTGTGACATATAAAGTTGTAATAAATGGATTGTTTTTTGTTAATTAATCATTTATTAATGCTTTAAAGATGAGTAAACCAGTTCTGAGACCAAGCTTTGGGTTGCCAGGTTGTGAAAAATCTCTCACGTACAACCAGGGGCGGAGCACCACATTCTGAGCCCTGTGCACAAGCAGTTTCTGTGGGCCCCCTGCCCTGACTCTCTTGATCCATGTCTCCCTCATGCACCTTTAGATTTTATTTATTTATTTATTTATTAATAACAAGGTCAGTGTGCCTCCTCACCCTTTTCCTGTCTTTCTTTTCTTTTTTTGGAACCCTAATTTTTGGGGAAAGACGCGACAGTGTACGTTGGTGCTCCAGCAGCATAAGCAGTCATGTACTTGGCTCAAGTTATGTTTAGAAACGAATCCTTAGAGAGCAAAAAAAATACAAAGAATACAATTGCAAACAAAACTAAACTTTTCATGCCATGCCCCCCCCCCCAGATTGACAATTAATTGTTGACAACTAACTGATAGATTTGTGTACAATCAATTTATTTATTAACTGTTTAACATTTAAAACTGAGGACAGAAAATAAATAGCAGCTATTTTCATAATCAATTAATTGTGTTGGCCATTTTCTTTTCTTGTCTTTTTTTAACAACTATTTTAATTTGTAAAAGCAGGATAAGTTTATTTACGTATATCTATGCATCACTGCATTTTTCCTTTTAATGTAACATTACTACTCAAGAAGTCAAGAAAAAAAATCACAAGGGGAAAAATGGACAAACAAAACAAAACAAAAAAACACACACATAAAAGAAAAATATGTAAGTGAAATAAATAACCAAAGAAAACATTTGGGTGGGGGCGGGGGGACCCATCAGAGAGTTAAACATTGATATGTGATGGAGTAAATGGGATAAACTCACAGGTTACAGAGGCACCATCATACCACAGGTCAAGTTAGAAGGGACAGATTATACGTGTATTAAACAGGACAGATGGAGTGTCGACCATTTTTCAAGCAAACATGCCAAACAGTCTCTGACTCCAGCTTCTTAAATGTGAAACTTGTGCCTTGTCTGAATATGTTTGAGCTTTAGACTAATGGTCGGACAGAAAACATGGTGTGTATTGGGCTCTGAGAAACTGTGATGGGCATTTTTTTTTGCTATTTCAAGGACTAAAAAAATCTAATTTCTGAGCAGCTACCTTTATTCATCCAGCTTCTGTCTGTCAGTTCATTATATTTTCTTTTTTTTTTTTTTGTAAAGAAAATCAAGTTTTCGTATCCCAAGACATTGGAGGAGCTGCTGCAGCAGGTTGCCAGTCTTCACGAGTCCACCAACACATCTCCCACCCCTCCCTCACTGATCATAGTCGACCGGCTGGAGGGCTACCTGTGTGGTCCTGGAGGAGGCAGCCACAGTGGACTTCACCCAGGACTGTCCCGCGCTGCACACCTGTCTGCGCTGCTGTGCGACAGCGCTGCCTTCCTCACGCAGCTCCTGAAACAGCGCTGCTCCAGCTTGGCCCCCTGTCGCGTCATCGCATCTTTCCAGTCAGAGGTCGACTCTGGGCAAGCCGGCAGGGAGGCCTCTGCCACGGATCCAATCCTCGATGTTCTTGATCGCTACTTCCAGGTGCGCTGTACTCTGGACCGAGACAGGAGCTATGAAGCTGCTGCAGCTGGACTGCAGGAGGTGTGGAACATTTACCTTTCTGGGACCGGCATCACAGAGGCCTCTGGTACCAAAGGCTGTGAGGACAGACTGGCTGTAGCTCAGGAGTGGCAGCTGTTAATTTCCCCTGATGGTTCAATGGAGTTTAAGTTGGTTTGAAAGTGTCTGTGTCAAAGACTGTAGCAGCGGGAGAGAAACTGAATGTTGATTTGTTCACTTTTTGTTCAGAGAAAAAGCTCATTTTTTAGCAGTCAGGTATTTGCAGTGATAATGCTCTGCAGCATGATAGGCCTTTTTACTTCACTGTTTATGTTGAGCACATCATTCACACATGAGCAGACAGCATGATGTCATCTGCTGCTCACCTCTCAGATATCAGCTAACTGAACCACAGTGGCTGTAGATATACAACATTTAATGAGTTGAAATTTTTAATGACACAAACTTTTGTAAAACACATGAATAAATCTTACACAATGAAAACATTTATAAAGACATCAAGGAATGTTTTAAAATAAACAGTTGTTACCAACATTTTTGGCTCAGGACCCCTTAAAACTGGGCAAAGTCTACCTGCGACCAAAGCACAGAAAAAATAAACATATTTTATAGCATATTCGTTTTTCTGTTTTCATCTCTCCTTAATCATCTTGTGACCTCTCAGGTTGAAAACCACTGAATTACAACATTGGAGCGACATCGCTTTTCTTGAGCTGCTTTCAGACGCCTTTTGCAAGTATTTAAACCCTTTGAAAAAAGGCAACGAGGCTTGGTAAAAAATGTCCTACAAATTGTAAAAAAAAAAAAAAAAAAAAAATTATAAATTTATACAATTAATTAAAGAAAAATGGGGGGGGGGGGACTAGGGAATATATATATTTATAATTTATATTATTACACTTTAAAATTATGTCAGATTTTTTATAAAAGATTTATTTATTGCATTTATTATTTATTTAATTTATAATTTAACAATGTATTTTTCCTTTTTTTAACTAAATGTCTTGTTTTTAATTTTCTCTTTTTTACTCATTTCTTGCAATTTTTTTGGTTCATTTCTTTTTTCTTTGCTAATTGCCTTCTTGTCATGTTTTTGAAAAAAAAAAAATCAAGCCAGTTTGCTCAGGTTTCAAAGGGTTAACATGTAAGGTGTTGGACTGAAGTGGCTGATATCACAGTTGAAGTATTTAAAAAAAAAAAAAATCAGAAGAAATATAGAAAATACTTATTTTATAAAATAATATCATTATCCATACAGAACATTATTTTGAATGTTTCAGAAAAAGAAAAACATAGAGCAAAATAATACATACACTACAGGAGGATAACTTTATATTAAAATATTTATTTCAGAAAAGGAACAGAAGCTTGAATAATAATAATAATGATGTCACCCACAAATGTAAAATAATAAAATTTCGTTTAGTCATCTTTGATAAATTATTAATTGCTGTTGTCAAAAATATGCAACAATTCCTAGAGAAAACCAGTTGGTTGTGGGGTTTTGAGCTTTGTTTCCTTTTTGTGTCACACTACCCTAAAACTTTAATTTTCAAAAATACTCCACAATGTTCAGAAATATTTTTTTTTTTTTTACATATTTTTTAAAAGAGCTAAAATTTCAGTTGCTATATATTTTTTTCTAAGCCACAAAATCAAACAAGCATAAAAACACATGGATATTATTTAGTCTGACTTAAAAACAACAATGAATTAAAAATGTTTTGAATAGAAATGTTAAAGTGAAGACATCCTGTACACACTCTGCTCTTTAGATGGCAGCAGTGACTCAAAACTTCAACATGATAAGAAACTAACAACTACAGTTACATGAGAATGCCTACAGTAGTACTGCTTTTACTTTGTTTCTTTCAGGATTGTCCTTGTGATAAAATACAAAATACAATACAATACAAAAATAATCACAATATTATGTACAAATACAGTGAGTTTTTTGAGTTCAAGTGTAAGCTGTTAGGTTTAAATTTAAGGGTATTCTAAAGTGTAAAGTGGGGACTATTCCATATCTTTGTTTTTTGTCAACTCATTCCAAAACCAACAGTGTTAGTATGTTTCTCAGTGCTTTCTCACTTTCCTACTCAAACTCAAGCCCACTGGTTCTTGCTGAAATCTTTAAAAACAGGTCACAAATATATAGTTTAATTTTCAAAAAAATACTCTAATTTCTGCAGACAGCTGGGCACTGTAGTTTGTAAAAAATGTTAGTCAAACAGGTGTAAATGGTGCAATTGACGGGGGACTATTTTCAGCAGTGGAATGATACACATTTGGTGCTCTAGTGAGGTACTATGACAATATATGTGAGTTTGACTCAAACCAAACCACAGTACCCATGTTCATCATAATAAAGGAACGAGTCAGACGGCGCAATGGCTGAGTTATTATGTGATTTTAATTATGTTAGTTGCATCATTCTAAGAATTGCAATCTCTCAACACTTTAGTCCAGACTGAAGTATCTTAGCAAATACTTAATGGATTGCCATTAAAGTTGTACAAACATTCAGGATCCCCAGAGGATCTATTAAGTTTTGAATCTACCACCATCATTAGTTAAAATTTTTATTTGTCCAGTACTTTGGTTCATGACCAGATACCTACAAACATGACTTTCCTGTTAGCCTCAGCTGTGCTTTGCATTTAGTGCTAATAATCAATCATTAGCATGCTAACACTGTAAAGTATGATGGTAAGAACTACGATGGTGAACATGGTAAACATCGGTATGTTGACATTTCAGTTATAATGTCTTAGTTTTAACCATCATACTCCACAGTGTTAGCATGCTAATGATTGCTAATTAGCACTAAATGCAAAGCACAGCTGAGGCTAATGGCAGGTTGACATTGCCACTGTGAGCATATATTAGCATGCTAACATTCTGTTCATGCAGCCCAGTCGCCAGGAGAAAATGTTGGGATTGTACGTTTCTGCAAACTACGTTATATTTGTGCGTTTTATCATACATATTATATTAATTTTTCTAAAATGATGCAGGATATGAGCTGGCTTTGTCATCAGGATGGTTTCCAACAGCTTCCTAGCCAGCAAACACTGTTTTTCAGTGACCTGTTGACGTGTTGTCAGTAGTGATAGTGCTACGAAAAGCGGTTGCTGTACACCCACACATTGCTACCTTTCCTGCTAGGATTCTGCCACCAAATGTGGGTATTTCAAGCAAACAACAGCGTTTGTTTTATTAGCAACCCATGACCACGCTTCAGCGGCTTTTGTGCCATTAAGCTGTTTTTGAGCAACCTGTTACCACTTTTCCAGTGGCTTTTATGCAACCTAGGGTGGGTACTTTCAGCCAAAACATGATCTTTTCCTAACCATGACCAAAAAACTTTGTGCAAAAACATAACTACATTTACCACAGCGTTGTTAGAGACATAACGTTTCAGTATCTGCTACATAATAACGTAGCAATGTAACATATTCATCGTTTGCAGAAACAGAACGCCAACATTTTTTCTTGCAGTTGGGTTGATTTATATCACATGGGATGAACAGTAGATTCCAATGTTAACAACTTGCGAATATTCACGTCATCAAGATAGTGGTATGATGAAAGAGAGGTTAAGCTATATCAGGCTATAGAGGCAACACTTATGGTCAGGATTTGTTGACAATAGAAAAAATATGGAATACCACCAGCCTTATACTTTAAGACAAATCAAAGAAACAGGGAAGGAGCGTTGGCCTGTGCTGTTCAGTCTTCTATTTCAGGATGTTCTATTCTGTATTTTAACCTAATAGCCATTCTGTACACTTTGCTCAGTTTGCTCCCTCAACTTAAATTTCTGCTCTGATCTACAGGAGAGGATACTTACAGATCAGCATGCAGACCTTTGCACTGAATATCAGTATGTGGTGTAAACCACAGCTGCCGTTTGGATAAAGTAGAAATGATGTTTGCACATCCAGTGGACTCTTCTTCCTGAGTCCGTTAGCTTACACTTCAGTGTTGCTCACCTCCCAAATCCTTGGTACACCTTTCTTAACAGTTGATAAGAAGCCAAGTAGCTTTGGGTGAGTATCCAAAAAACCCTCACCAAGTGCTTAAAGGGTCAGTCCACACGTAGCCCGTCCAGCTTTGCTTTGTCTCATCTGTCATCATGGATGGGGTACTGCCTTGACAGGAAGGGTCTTTTATGAGCAGGGATCTCATTCTTGTACTCATTGGCGTAGATAACCACCTTTCCAATGTCGTCTACTCTGCTCATGGGGCTGTAATCCATAGAGACCCCAGAGTCTGCCACTGCCATGTAGGTGTACCCAGGACCTTTGGACATCCAGGGGTGGTTTGGGTACTCAAAGCTGGACTGTGACGAAAGACGACCTGACCCAGAGCTCTGCTGCACAGATCCCAAGTCGGAGTGAGATTCACACAACAGCGTCTTTCTGGAAGCAAAAAGCACCTCAAGGGGTAAGGTCTCCTCGAGAACGTCATCCAGGTGTTCGTCTTCACTGCAGTTGTTGGCACTTAGGGTGACATAGGCATCTTGGGACTCCAGCAGAGATAATTGGGAGCAGGGAACAGGGTTCTGGTGGAGCGCCCGTAGGCGGTCCATCAGCCAATGGTCATGTGGTGTGGTTCTCCATCCGTCTGTCAGAGCAGAATCACCCCTTCCCAACGGCTCTCTCGCATCTAGCCCTGTCTTTATGTCCTCCTTCCTGCCTGTAGTCAAAGCTCGAGAGGCCTTGGGTGGAAGAGGTGGGAAAGGCAGTGCGGGACAAGGGCTGAGCTCGGACAGGACCTCCAGAGGAGAGGGGCATTCTTCTGGGTAGAAGAAAGCTGGAGTCATCCATATGCCTCCATTTGTCTGCCCCAACCACTCCTGTACAAAAACACAACAACGGATTATGACAACTCTGTAAATATTTCTGACTTAAGCCCCATTCACATGGGACTAGTATTACCATAGGACCTCTGGTAATTTGTAGTAATTGCGGCGATCATCTGTGATCTTAATCCTGTGCAAATCTGCCAAAGTCTAATTTGTCAAGCAAAATTTACACCTCCAATTACCTACCAAAAGGCGAAGTGTTTCATGACTGTGCATTGTTTTGCCCTATGGAAGACTGTTGAATTCTGCTGACGGCGGTATCTCTAGCTGTATCGACACAACCATTACCTTCACTAGCGAGCATGCTAACAAGCTAGGCTGTTCTCATGCACTGTTCACACATTTTCCTCCTAAAAGTAGACTAAAATTTGTATATATCCCATGTAATCATGAGCCAGTAATTTAAGTATGACCTACGTATTTGGGAAGGCTGCGATCAGGCGACCAATGCGTTGACAGAGGTTAAGGAAGGAAGCAGTCCCGTAAGGAGGTAGGTTGGTGGGGTGGTTGTTGGGTCAAAAGCACAGGACTTGCCCCCAAGACTCCAGAACTGTGTGAACTATAAGTAAACTTTGAGTAATTTTAAGGTACGTCATCACCATGTTTCTTATTCCCTACACCTAACCAAAGTAACTTTACGTTAAGTACGTAACTTTATTTTAAGTCCGTAACTTCATTTATGGGGTGCTGATTCGTAGGATATCATAAACTGAATTATGATGCGGTGAGCAAGCAGCTAGCCAGTGTTGACATAACAACTGTGCATGGGGACCTACCAGCCTAAGTGCCGTAGGCAGTAACAACATTTGAACACAAGTGGTCTGCTGGAAAAGCATGATCGACACAGGTGTTAACGGCGATGTGTCTTGGCTGTCCACTTGAAGCCCCGTTTACACTGCCAGATTTTCGGCGAATGTTGGGCCGTTTTGCCGGCAAGCTGTGAGCATTGAGACACACAGCCAGATTGGCGAGTTGATCCGAGGTGCCCAATTCTTCCGCCTCGTAGGGTAGACATATTGGCAGAACCCTTTTAGTTTAAACAGACCGAGGCGGCCTTCCGCCACGGGAGGGGCTGTTGAAGACTTTTTTGAGGAGCTGTTGATGATGCCGCACGTGCGACCCACTGGCGGTGGATAAACAGGAAACAGCTGATAGCAGGAAGTAGCGAGCAGCTAGTAGCAAGAGGGAAACACAAACCTGACAGACACAGTAAAGGGGGCGCTAGCATGGCTGTAAACTTGTCTTGCTCTTACCTTGAAGTCTCCACCATAATCAGTGAAAAGGCCTTGGAACTTGCTGTCAGGAGTTGGAATAGTCGGCCAGATCTTCTTTACAACAAAACTGAAAAGAGCACAGATGCTAGAAATTTAATCTACATTTTTCTTTTTTTATTAATGAGTAAGTAAGATTCTGACAGAGCTAAATAAGCTGTGTGTGGCTGGTTATCCGACCTTCGGTGGGACAGGAGCACAGTGACAGACAGCACGATGAGAATGAAGGAGATGATAAGAGTCAGGCAGATGATGAGCAGGTCGAGCTCTGGAGGGAGCACAGAAAGATCAAAAACTTCATCACCGATAACATATAAATAAAATGTTCAAAAAAAAAAAAGAGGTAAAACCAATATTGGATCTTTGCATGTTTCCTTTCAAAAGATACCTATGCTGCTGGGAATATGTGACACCACTCACCTGCAGGCAGTGTTTCCATGAACACCGGGTAACTCCATGCACTCCAATAGCCATTATAGCTAATCCCATCCAGCTTCACACGGACTTGCACCTTGTACTTCTTGCCTGGCTGGAGGCCCCTCAGGATCAACTGTGAGCTGGCGCGTACCACCTCCACCTGCAAAACAGTCCTCAACTCATCAATACAGGTAAATGTCTTTCAGCAAACCTATATCTAAATCTAAATAACCGTCCTACCTGCACCACGTGGCTGTCCACTGTTGTGTAGCTGACCTCATACATCATGCTGTCATCCATGTACTTGAGAGGAGGAGGAACCCAGCTGACATTCAGCTGACCTTGCTTACTCATGTTCCTCACCGTCACGTTAGCTGGAGGGTCCAGCAGAACTGCCATGCAGAGAGACAGGAGGCAGTTTGTTAGGGAGGATTTTGAAGGAAGTCAAGGTAAGATCATTCCTCATCAAAAGTCTGTCAGACCCTGAAACACTGCTCCAGTAGCTTCACATACCCTGATGTCACATTCCAACCCAATCGGCAGATAAAATGTTGGCATTGTACGTTTCTGCAAACCACGTTATATTCGTACATTTTATCACATATATCATCGTTTCTGAATTGACATAGTATATGAGCTGACTTTGTCATCAGGACAGTGGATGGCATGACACCTACAGTAGGCCAGACAAGACACCAACAGACAACTAAACCAGGTGTTTTTAGTCATTGCATTGTTTCCAACAGCTTCTTAGCCAGCAAACGCTGTTTTTTAGTGACCTTTTGGTGTGTTTCCACCTGTGATAGTGCCACAAAAGCGGTTGTTTTTTTACCTAGACATCGCTGAGTTTCCAGCCAGAGTTTTGCTACGAAAAGTGTTTGCAATAGACCCAGACCTTGTGACATTTCCTGCTGGAATTTTGCCACCAAATGCAGGTACAACATACAGCCTAGGGCTCCTAATGTGGTAGGGCCGGCACTGCTTTTTTAGAGCTCATTCTCTAAAAACAAATAACCTGATGCAGCTAAAATCAATGTTGAAGTGAGTCGTGATGGTGCACTAAAACAGTAAAGTTATAGTCTGTACAACCAAAACTGAAAGAGATTAAAACACTAGAGCTGAGGGGAACTGCAAATGTGGGTGATAATGCTCAGTGAGTTTATCACCACAGCTTTGTCACCGCTTTCACACACAAGTGGTCAGTTGTTAATATGACAACATGAATTAAAACAGGAATTTTAGAGGCACATCGTTCACACACAAACCTTTTTAAGTTCTCTGACTGTACTGTGTAGTAGGTAAGGTAACTTACATACAAGCTCGATGAGAAGGCTGCGCTTGTGGAGCAGTATTCCCCCCCGGTGAACTTCTATGTCCATTTGGACAAACATCTGGGTTCGATTCAGGTGGCAGACGAACAGCCTCTTCCCGCCTGCTGCAGGGAGGACTCTCAGCGGGCACCTGCTGCTGTTCTCATTCCTGCTCGGGACAGAGGAAGACACACACACACCATGGCTTCAGAGAGAGGTCACAGAGCACTATGCTGAGTGGTATTATTAAGAACCATCTCTTTAAAAACAGTTTCAGTCACTCAAATATAGTTTTATCTGGGGCCTGTTAGTTGCATTACAAAAAGAGAAGAGTAAAGTAGTCCGTATAAGAACACCGGTACACTGACAGCACTGGACGCCACATGGCTTATTGTTACACACTGAATGTGACTCACTGGTAGGTATATGTGAAGGAGTACTGATCCACAGAGCCGGCCCTCTCTTCATCTTCCTCCCAGAAGCACGTGAAGTCCTTCCTGCCTTCAGCAAAGCACTTTGGGTTTTCTGGTTCCTCTTTCAGCAGAATAGACACTGAGGAGATAAAGACAAGTGTGAGAAGCCAAAAGCTCTTTGGTCACCTATACTGAAAGAAATAAACGTTTACTAAAAGCATTATTTGTTCCCAAAGTTTGCACTTAACTTACTTTAAAACTTTCTCTTTGTTTTCACAGCAGGTGACAATTAAAAAAAAAGTTGCCTTACCTTTCTTTTCGAAATCTCGCGCACCCTGGACGATGGAAGCTTTCCGCATGGCGCAGAAAATCACGAAAAGCGCCAACAGTCTGCTCAGGTGATCACATATCATCGTCCTGTCTTCTCTGTTAACGGAAAGACTTTGGCTTTCTTTTGCCAGAATGCATAACTGGAAAACAACCTGCCACTAACGCGTGTGCTGCAGGGGAGGCTTGTGTTTTTGTTTAGATACCAATGGATAGCGCACCGCGGTCACGCGCCTGCTTGTGAGCGATAAGGTGCGTAGAGCCGAGCTGTTTACTTTCTCCAAAAGTCAGTGGAGGGGCGGGGATACTCGTACTCTGTGGTTGATGGGCGCGAAGCATGCGCTCATTGATGTTCACGAGTTGTTTGTGTCGCTGTGGGGAGAGAGGAGGTGAGACATGGGCGTGCGTAAAAGCGCGCAAACGTTGGGTTAGATAGATAGATAGATAGATAGATAGATAACGAAGCATGAGGAAAATGAAATATATACTTCTATATGTTTTTAAATGCGTATGTGTGAGCACTGTCTCGTGGCTGAACTGTAAATTAATCCCTGCACTTGCCCAAGTAACGGAAACCGCAGAGTGCTCACACACCTACAGCAACAGGCCTAAACGGTTTCTTATCTACTCACTGCACTCACGTTTTCTTCGTTTGACCAGCATTATCGGCGCTGCAGACACCCCTGTTTCTTCACCCATGATAAGTGGTCCAGGGGGGCGTAACGGCCCATCCCCGGCAGTTTAAATGCAATTCAGCGCCTCTTTACATCAGGTGACAGGGGGACAAGACATCCTGATCCCAGTGGGGTGGGAAGGGTACTGATGTAAAAGAGAAGCTGCATTTCACTCGCATGACGACATTCAGCTGCAGATGGTGAAACTTTTGAACCTAATTTCAGCTTCATTTTTAGGCCAGTTTGGTAAAAATGAATGTAAGTTTTGAAGTACACTGCTCAAAAAAAATAAGGGAACACTTAATGGTCACAGTATAACACCAGGTCAGTGAAACTTCAGGGATATCAATGTGTCCATTAGGAAGCACAAGTGATTGTGAATCAGTTTCAGCTGCTTTGGTGCAAATCGAAGTGACAACAGGTGCAATGGAGAGGCAAAAGCAAGACAACCCCCAAAAAGGGAATGTTTTTACATGTGGTGTCCACAGACAGTTGCTCTCTCCTTATCCTTCCTCACTGATTCTACTCTAGTTTGGTCTTCTGCTAGTGTACCTGCAGCCCAATCAGGTAGTCCAGCTCCTCCAGGATGGCACATCCATATGAAGGTTTGCTGTGTCTCCCAGCACAGTCTCAAGAGCATGGAGGAGATACAGTACCAGGAGAACGGCTGTTACACAAGGACAGGGCCGTAGAAGGGCATCAACCCAGCAGCAGGACCGGTATCTGCTCCTTTGTGTGAGGAGGAACAGGAGGAGCACTGCCAGAGCCCTACAACATGACCTCCAGCAGGCTGCTGGTGTGCATGTTTCTGACCACACTGTCAGAAACAGACTCCATGAGGGTGGCATGAGGGCCCCATGTCCACAAGTGCAGTGGTTCCAAACTGGTTAAGCCCAGCAAGGTCCACACTGTTTAATATATTCAGCATCATGTTGTTGAGCGAGTTTTCTGTCTCTGTTAAGTAGCTGTCCTTTAGACCCTCACTCTACAGAAGGAAACGGTACTTCAAATTAAAAGCTCTGTGTCAGAAATTCACTTACAAAGTTCACACATTCGCAAGTCGCTTGCGGTCCACTCAGATGGACCTGAGACCCACCAGTTGGGAACCACTGCTCTAGTGGGACCTGTGCTCACAGCCCAGAACCGTGCAGCCCGACTGACGTTGGCCAGAGAACACCAGAATTGGAAGGTTAACAGATGAGAGCAGGTTCACACTGAGCACATGTGAAAGAGTCTGGAGACGTCGTGGTGAATGTTACACTGCCTGTGACATCATCCAGCATGACCGGTTTGGCGGTGGATCAGTGATGGTCTGCGAAGACAGATCCCTGGAGGGTCACACAGACCTCCATGTCATAGCCAACAGTACCCTGACTGCTGTTAGGTACCGGAATGAAATCCTCAGAGCAACTGGTGCAGTGGGCCCTGGGTTCCTCCTGGTGCAGTGGGCCCTGGGTTCCTCCTGGTGCAGTGGGCCCTGGATTCCTCCTGGTGCAGAGGGCCCTGGGTTCCTCTTGGTGCAGAGGGCCCTTGCTTCCTCCTGGTGCAGAGGGCCCTGGCTTCCTCCTGGTGCAGTGGGCCCTGGGTTCCTCCTGGTGCAGTGGGCCCTGGGTTCCTCCTGGTGCAGTGGGCCCTGGATTCCTCCTGGTGCAGTGGGCCCTGGGTTCCTCCTGGTGCAGAGGGCCCTGGGTTCCTCCTGGTGCAGAGGGCCCTGGGTTCCTCCTGGTGCAGTGGGCCCTGGGTTCCTCCCGGCCACGTGTCCAGAGTGTGTAGACAGTTCCTGGATGATGAAGTGTTGATGCCATTGACTGGCGCTCTCGTTCCCCCTGATCTAAATCCAACTGAGCACCTATGGGACATTATGTATCGGTGCATCTGACGCCTCCAAGTACAACCACAGACTGTCCAGGAGCTCACTGATGCCCCGATCCAGGTCTGGGAGGAGATCCCCCAGGACACCATCCACTGACTCATGAGGAGCATGCCCAGACGCTGTCGGAAGTGTTTACAGGCACGTGCGTTGCCCTAAAAAAATTCACGAGATGGATCAGCCTGTGACATCAATTTTTCACCACTGACTGTTGTCATGACATTTTGTTCTCAACAAATTACACAGTGTACATCAGTAAAGATTTTCAACTTGAATAATTCGTTCGTCAAGATCTGATGTGTGATTCAAGTGTTCCCTTATGTTTCTGAGCAGTGTATACAGAGGCCCTGCATGGGGAAGGTAGTTACTGACTTAGGTGGAAGGAAGAAGGGGATGAGGAAATCTGTATTGTTGTGGAGGACAATAGCAGTGTGGTTTCTCTGGTTCTTCAGATAAAACGTGAAAAAGCCCTGACCTGTGTTTTGGGGTTAGGAGGTCATAAATCACACGTTAGAAGCTGCTGTCACCACAAAAACATGTTGTGCACTCTGTGACTGATTTGTAAAAAGAACTAAAGTCAATGATCAGAAATGATACTGTCCCCTTTGTAATGAATATATTCTTTATTTCCATGTACACATTTCAACATACTCAATTTATTCTTGTTTATAAGATGCATTTTTTCCCCACAACGCTTCCATCCAACACATTCAGCACCTAAAATAAAGGGATCCAGTGAGCTGAGCTCCCCTCTTTCAGAAGGCGACCGATCAGGAATGCAACACAACATATAAATCATAAACATAAGAAGGAGAGACAGAACACACCCCAGACTAACAGCTCCGGATGCTCCAGACTTATTTGTACCAAAGCGTCAGTAGTTTCGGTGGTTAAAAATTCAGTATCAGCAGACAGGTTAGCACATTCAGTATGTGTTCAAGCAGCAGCCGCCATGAAGCTCCTTCAGTGGAACTTGCACAGATATTATACGCTCTGTGATTGCATTTAACCTGCACATATGTTGAAATACAAATGTAGTGTTATGAGTGTTGCACGCAGCCTCCTCATGCTAACTGCATCAAAGCTTAAAGGGACAGTTCACCCCAAATCAAAAACACATAATTTTACTCCTGCCTGTAGCGCTATTGATCAGTTGAGATTGTTTTGGTGCGAGTAGCTGAGTGTAGAGCTCGGTCTCACTCGGTTGTCGTCAAAATCCAGTGCTTGGCGGTGACTTGTGGCAATGAAAAAAGGCTGCTTTAAACACTGGCATGACAAACGGACAGTCATGACGGAACAAGGCAAAAGTCAAGGTGGCGAAAGTCCAACTGGGTGGTGGATGGGTCCAACAAACACTGACTTTCACCCCAGGGAGCGGTGTTGCCGTCCCGTAAGATTCTAAAGCCAAACCCTGTTCTTTTTTCTGAAACCCAACCTCGTGTTTTTGTTGTTGAAGGAAAAAAAGTAAATGCGAGACTGTATGTAAACGGTAAATTTCCCGTGAAAACAGAAGTGCATCTTGAAAGAAGATGATGCATGTAACAGGCTGAAGTTGACGTCGTATGTGGAAGCTTGGTCACTCTACAACTTCCCGGTGCGTCAGAGGGAAACGCGGCAGGACAAGAACAAAAGCTGAGGCGGCGAAAGTGTTTCTGTGGCCCAAACCCAACCATGTGTGTTTGTTGTTGAAGGAAAAAAAAAGTCAATTCACGGTGTTGTACTGACGTAGTGCGTTTATTTTGAAAGAGACTGAAAGTAAACATTGAAGTTCCTGTGAACATAGAAGTGTATGTTGAAAGAAGAGACCAACGCACCCAGGGTACCTTGCAGGTTGTATCTCTCGAGGTGGAAAGTCCATGACCAAACGTCAATGTGCGACAAGGTCAGAGTGAGAATGTGTTGGTGAATCACAGATGTCTGCCTGCTCTCGCTTTGTGGTGCTAAAAAAACACCCCACATTTGAGCAATTTCACTTTCATCTCTACGGCTGATATCTGCAACACTCAGCAACTCACATCAAAACAATCTAGACTGATAAACAGCACCACAGGTAAGAGGGAAAATATGTATGTTTGATTTTGGGGGGGGGGGGGGTGATCTGCCCCTGAGATGATAATATCAGCCATCTGTAAAACTATATCACTACTCAGCAGCGCACACTGGCAGCAACAACAGGGCCGAAGCACCAGTTGTGCAGTTGTGACCCAACGATGGGCTTTGCCATGGCAACGTGAGGCTGCTATCACGGAGCAGAGGTTACGGTTGATACTAACTGACAGTCAGTAGTCTGCACATGGACAGGGATGGTCAAATGGCACTGTTACTTTTTTTCTATTCCTGATTTATGGTGCAATCTAAAGTCTTTGTATTTCAATTTCATGAATCAGAGGTTTTCAGCAGAGGGAGGTCAATACTGACATGTTACAATATGTAAAGGAGCAAAAAAGCGTTTTAATGTACAGGTAGCTGATGGCGAATACAGCATAATGTGGAGAAGATAGAACCTCTTTCCATTCACTTCAATGACAAGATGAGACATTACAGTAAAGGCAAATAAAGTGACCCTTTTAACTAACATTGTGCACCAGCTCACTGCTTCTCCTGATAGTGGCTACAGCACATTTGAGGCCCGACATTTATCCTGCTCAGAGATCAGTGTTCTTCCCTTTCTGAGTACACACACACGTACACACACACACACACGCACACACACATACACTGTGCTGCATTTCCACAAAACAGTCATTATGTCAGTAACAAGAAAAAAGCATAATTCACCACTTTGTAAATACTCAGTTATGAAGCATAGTAGGTTTGCCATGCCAACTCTTTTGCCATGCTGCAGTTAGAGGAGCCGTGTGTGAGTGTGTGTGTTGTGTGTGTGTGTGTGTGTGAGAAGGCGATAAAGAAAGAGTGGCACAAAGGGGTTGAGCGAGGACATGCCATGAGGTCAGGTCATGTGATGAGTACAAGAGCCACCAGTGTTAAACGATATTTACCGCCACCGCCCTCCAGGTGTCTCACTATGAGTGCATGAGAAAAGGCTTCAGCAGCCTCCGAGAGGCGCTGAGGGAGGCGAAGGGCACCACAAGACTGGCATTAACATCCAGGTAAAGATGAGGTTCACAATGACACATGGTAGGTTCTCTTCATCATTGTTTATGCTTTTCATAACTGACCTCACATCTCACAATAGAGGGTGGCTACAGTGTCGAATCATCAGCACCTGATAATGACTTTAACCCGAAAAACAACATTAACGAATATATTTGTTTTCCTTAGCTTCACTGCACTGACATGTCCATATTTAGAAGAACACTTCTCCTGCAAAGTCAGCATTTGTGTTTCAGTTGTTCGCTGCAAAGTTACCTCGAATTTGTGAAGATAACTCTGTTTTTCTCACACGCCTCCACGATGAACGAAGAATCCAAAAAAAGCAAACATTCTTCATGAATTGAAGTCAATGGGGGACCGTGTTTAACACCAGCAAAACCATCCGTTTGCAAAATATATTTTTCTTTTGGGAAGTACTGAGTATATGACTGGTTACATGAGACTTGGGTTATACTGCATGAGCTGCGGAGACTTTGTAAACACATCATTACAAACTGCCTCATGCACAGCCGACTAGCGTGCCTGGGCATGCGTGTGCATGTGAACCACAAAAATAATGGTCGTAGCTATTGTGACATCACCCGTTGGTTTGTGGACTCTTGTTTTGAAGCATCAAATTTGGCATTTTAGCGCCATGTTGGTGTTTTGGAGCCAGAAGAGACCATATTTGGATGAGAGGGTGGAGCTGTGGAGGAACCGAGGACACTATTGACAGACCACCGAAGCCTGAATAAAGTGTGAACAGGTGAGTTATATAAAAATGATCTCCCTGGGGCTCACTTGGTGTAGCAGGTGGCCTGTGTACAAAGGCCTTGTCCTTGCTGCGGGTTTGGCTCCAACCTGTCACCCTTTGCTGCATGTCGTTCCCCCTCTTTCCCCCTTTGATGCTAACAACTGTGCTTTCAATTAAAGGCAAAAAGCCCTATTAAAAAAGCCCCTTGTACAGTTGTCGTGAATGTTGAAATTAGCTGCAGAGACCAAAAGGTTGGATTGAGCCTGCAGCCACTGCAGCAAGGACATGGTCTTTACACATGGGCGCCTGTTCTCCCAGCTGAGCTACTGGGCACCCCCAAAGTGTTTTTTTGCCAGGCTCTAAACATTTATTTCTGCTGTAAAGTTGGATATCTTAACATGGGGGTCTGTTGGGATTGACATGCTTTTGGAGCCAGCCTCAATCGGCTGTTCAGACAACTGCAGTTTTTGACACTTCCATGTTGGCTTCATTTTTCAGCCCCGGAGGCTGCTGCTTGGTTTGAACTCTGCCCAAACAGACCTGAATGTGTTTGGTAAGTACTCAGCATATAACTGGATAAATGAGACTTTGATTGTTGTACACATGCTGTGTGATATATGTTTGTTGCTAAATGCAGTACACGTTTACTTCAATTCATGAAGGATGTTTGCCGTTTTTAGGATTCTCTGCTCACCGTGGAGGCGTGTGAGAAAAGCTGTCTTCGCAAATTCACGGTAACACACGTGAGTCACTGATATACAAATGGTCATTTTGCAGGTGAACTATTCCTTTAAAGAAAGAGAAAACTTAAATTCTGAGTGTACTCAACATTTGATAAAATCTGATTTATTTTAAAGATTGATACCGCTCTCGCATCTGTACAGCAAATATGAAGCTAAAGGTGATTAGCTTAGCTTAGCTTAGCTTAGCTTAGCGTAAAGACTGGAAACAGGGCGGGGTTCACCCTGGACAGGTCACCAGACTATCACAGGGCTGACACATAGAGACAGACGACCATTCACACTCACATTGATACCCACGGGCAAAATTTAGAGTCACCAATTAACCTGCATGTCTTTAGACTGTGGGAGGAAGCTGGAGCACCTGGAGGAAACCCACGCTGACACAGGGAGAACATGCAGACTCCACACAGAGGACCCTCTTGCTGTGAAGCGACAATGCTAACCACCATGCTCCAAAGGTACCAAAATGGAAATGGATGAGTTTGTTTGTTAATCCAAACAAAAAAAAACAGTCTTCATGCAAAGCTAGGCTAACCGGCTGCTAGCTGTAGCTTCAATTCTAGCACACAGACATGAGAGTCGTATCAAGATAGCAAATAAACCTATTTCCCAAAATGTGGATCTGTTCCTTTAATCCTCACATAGTTCAATATGCCCTTTTCTGAGACGTACATCATTTCCAGTGTGCTGTACAAAACTGCAACCTAAGCACATGTGCTGTATGAATCTCAAACAAAACAATGGATGCTAAAAGTACAGCCGTCTACAGACACTATTTGGCACTGCTATTTTCGAGCTATCTGCACAAATATCTGACTTTAAAATGCTCATGTAGCAGCAGTGGTCAAGGCGGGTGATGTCGGGAGTGGACAGAGCACAGGGCAGGTTTTAGTGGACTATCAGCTCACCACAGAGCGGAGACAGGAAGTGGGCCTCTTTAAGGTAAAAGCCTGACAGACAGACAGGCCTAGGGAGGAGAGGGGTCTGACAGCACTGATGAAGATTATCTCAGCTAGCTGCCCTTCGGTTCATGCTGGGCTGTGTGGACAAAGCGGAGCGGCAGTGACGAGAGAGGAAGAGGTGCGGCACTTTACATGGTTGAGGCACAGAGAAGGAAGGTCTTCATGTATGAGTATCAGTGTGTGTGAGTGTGTGTGTTGGGGGAGCTGGTGTGAGGGCAGATGGTTTAGCAAGCACAGCCCCCGTGGCTCTCTGAAGGTGAGTCCTTAAGGGCCTGGTTCCTGTGGTTGGGTACGAGGTTCATGTCTCCCTCCATGCTCTCGTTCATCTTCTCACAGATGACGTCCACTAGACGCTCAAACACCTGCTTCACGTTGATGTTGTCCTTCGCACTGGCCTCAAAGAACTGGAAACCTGAGGGGGAGCGACATGATTTTATTAACTACGAACAAACAGATGTATACATATTAAAATCCACATAGACACACTGTACATGCATGAATATGGTATCATGGCAGAAGCCAGCAGGAAGAAGTTTTATGAAAATACAAGAAAGAGTTTCTACCGAGATCCTCTGCCAGCCGCTGGCCGTCCTCTGTGGGTACGAGCCTGTCGTCCTCCAGGTCACACTTGTTACCGACCAGGATCACCTGAGCATTGTCCCACGAGTACGTCTTGATCTGCGTCGCCCTGTAGGAAAGACATAATACTGCCTTAAAGAAGCTGTTTACACTGACACAAACAACTGGGAGCAAAAGTTGCATGACGTGTAACACAACAGCGTCAACATCAAGTGTGTAGTTTCACACAGATGTTGATTCGGCTCTGTTACTGTCTCCACTGCCGGCTTCACAGTGGAACAACAATGCCCAAAGAAGAATGGTGAGGCAAAATAGCGGTGGAACATTCCCGCCTTGTACATGTCTCACAGTCTACATGAATAAAAGCAACAAAAACAATGGATATATAAAGGAATACAGAAACCAACCAGCAATTAAATATTAACTAAAATTGTTGGTGGACACTTGTTTATATAAATTTAAAGTGTCTCCAGTGACACGTATAGGAAAACAGTATTTGCAGCATCAATTTTGGTTGCATCTGGCAAAGCCTGTTGATTTATAAAGCCAATTCAGCAACAGAGCAATTCAAGAAACACATTATAAAAGGACATCTTAATACGATTAAAAACAGTCATTAAAGGGATAGTACACGCAAAAATGAAAATTCAGCCATTATCTACTCACCCATATGCCGTGGTGAAGTTTTAGAGTCCTCACATCACTTGCAGAGATCCAAGGGGAGAGGAGGTAGCAACACAACTCCACCTAATGCAGGCTGACGGCGCCCCAGATTCAAACGTCCAAAAACACATTATTGAAACCACAATATATCTCCTTACTGCTCGTCCTTAGTGATCCAAGTGTCCTGAAGCCCCGACATAAAAAGTTGTTTGGAAAAACCTCATTTGAACTCTGTTTTTAGCCTCATTGTAGCCTGTAGCTCTGACTGCCTCTCTGGACACCGCGCCACGTGTGGTCAGCCACCATTAGGGCTCATTTATGCTCCCTTTACATACGAAAATGTATACGTCCGTTTCAGACGATGTTACCGTCACTGCCCACATACTTCCATGCACCCTTTACGTTGGCATGGATGTTAACCAATATATCCACCAGGGGGCAGCCCAGCCTCAAAAGTGTATGACAACAACAAACTCAAAAACAAACATGGCGACTGTGGAGGAGATATTGATAATGTACCTCTTGCATAAAAGACAAAAAGCGTTGTAGGAGGCGGTGGTCGGTGAGGCTGTTAAATACATCGCGACTGGAGGACAGAGAATTCTTTTCTCTAGTACTGCCGATGATAGAATTTGAATTTTTATTTCTTCTTTTTGTCTCACTATAGCTACGTATCTGGTAGTGACAGCAACACTGCCCCCACGGTTCCCGGTGGTACTGCTCCGTTTGGCCCGTATCCGTAAGCTTTATGGAAACGTGCAGAAATACGGACGAAATGAACACAGAGCACGGACAGAAGGCTCCGTCCGTATCCGGATCCGTATTTACCGTTGAGCATAAATGAGCCTTATTAGGTGGAGTTGTGTTGCTACCTCCTCTCCCCTTGGATCTCCTCAAGTGATGTGAGGACTCTAAAACTTCACCTGAGCCTCCCTCGGCATATGGGTGAGTAGATAATGGCTGAATTTTCATTTTTGGGTGCACTATCCCTTTAAAGAGCTAAAACTAAAATAAAATAACACAGGTATAAAATACTGTAACAAAAGTTATGCTGTGGTGTAAGAAATAAACAATTATTTGATTCAATTATTTGACTGGGCTGGAATTGATCCTGCGGCTGCTGCGGCAAATACATCACCTTTGTATATGGGACGCCTGCCCTTCCCACTAAACCACCTGGCGCCCAGATCTTGAGAAGTCTTTGAGGTCATCTAACAAAATGACAAATGGGAAATTTCTCAAACTCACCAGTCCTGAACGGCGTTGAAGGAGTCCTGGTTGGTGATGTCATACATGAGCAGGAAGCCCATGGCTCCTCTGTAGTAGGCTGTGGTGATGGTGCGGTAGCGCTCCTGTCCTGCTGTATCCTGCACACACACATTTTATACTTATTAAGATCTACAAAACAAACCAAAATCCTCAGTTCCTCTGTGATCATGCAGTGCAGGGTTTGAAACCACAAGGGGGCAACATTGTTCAATCTATGACTTGTTGCCACAACACTTAACCTCTTAACAAGTCAGAGTTACTGACACAGCACATGTGTCAGTGAGTGGTCTCCTCCAACACCACTGTCTACATCAGAAACATGTGGCACAAAGCCAATACATGTATTCATTAAAGACAGTTGATTTAATTAAAAAGTAGAGTTACTGCCCTGCGGTTGTACGCCTCTGAGCAAACATGTCAGTGAAAACATGGATGTTTCACACACAGAAGATCTATACAATCAGCACAGTTTCAAGATTAGAGTCACAAATTCAGTATCTGACCAAATGTCTCCCCTTCTGTTCCTGAGATATGATGTTGAGTAAAGTGTTTTATGCAGAACATTATGATGTCACAGTGAAACGGACCTTTGACCTTTTGGATATAAAATGTCAGCGCTTCATCGTTTTAATTTAATAGACATTTGTGTGAAGTTTTGTCATAATTGGCGAATAAATTCTTGAGTTATGGCCAAAAACATAACTTCTAATGAGTTTACGTTTGTGTCAAATTTTAGGAAATTTTCCCAAGGTGTTCTGGAGATATCATGTTAACAAGAATAGGATGGATGCAAGGTCAAAGCAACCTTGACCTTTTACCACCTTAATCTAATCATTGATCAACAAAAGGCTGTGGACATGAGACATGAGAGACACAGGCAATTACTGCAAACTCAAGACCCCTGAGGGACTTTGGTTGGAAAAACCTTGTGCAATTCTTTATCACACTGAGACTACAGCACTGCGAACAGGCCGACAGAGCCACGGCTTTGGTTGGAGGCAATGCGGAACCTCACTGGACAATCATCGTCATGTTTTCTAGGCCCAAAAACACAACCATATTGGCGAGAGACTGCAGCAGAGAATCATAAGATAACTGGGATGGATTTAGTCTACTCATTTGTCACATTATACTTAGGAAAAATATCTGAAACTGTCCCACACAAAGATAAATATCTATCAAAGATTCTTTTGGCAAGTAGCAGGAAAGTCATGACTCGCAAATGGTGGCAAGTTGATCCTCTGACACTGGCCCAATGGCTGAAGATTATAAATGAAACATACTGTATGGAAAGACTTTTATGTGAAGGCTTGAGATGGAAAAATGTGAAAAATACTGGGGGACCTTGTAACCTTTGACCTTGGAACACCCGTGACGACCTCATGTTCTTTGTTTCTTAAATAAAAAAGAATTACAAAAAAACAAAAATGGGCTTTTAAATTTTAAAGGAAAAGGTCTTCATAAATGCAATAAATGAAAATACAGATTAAAAAATAAAGATACACTGGGGTACAAGCTTACAGAAAAACAAGGTATATTCAGTCAGAGGATTCAGGGAATAAAGTTGCATAATCTTCCAGAACATATGACTATATCGATATCAGCGTCAGTTACCGGCCATGAGTTGATATATATCAGCATATTGGATATTGGCCAAAAATCCAATATCATGCAACCCTATAAAAATATAACATTCAGTTTAGTCAAGTCTGCATTCATACCACTTTTCAACCACATTATGACCATTTACCATCAACCATTTTCACTGTTACAGATTCCTCGGCTCTGATTGGTTGTTTTCGTTCAGTCGCAGTGGATTTTATTGATTATATCCACAGACCATCTCATGTACTGCTGTGTAGATATTTTCAACAAATATGACACAAAGGTCTTTTTTTTAATAAACGTTACCAACTACAGCTTTAATAGTTTGCTCAAAGAACAGAAATGGATTAAATGTCAACCATGTTTTCATCACTTGTAGACTTTCCTGCTTGCCTAGTGCTTTTCACACATGCTTAATCTCAACAAATAAAGTTCAGGTGTTACAAATGGCTTCAATTTATTTATTTTTTTGATACAGTAATTTCTGTCTTTGCCACCAGCTGAGCTGTTTTACAACCTGGCAGCTGCAGCACCTGAGAATCACTGTGAACCACTGGTCTAGTTAATCATTGGTAATGGTTGGCCAGTAAACTCAAATCAGTTTCTTATCAAACTGACATTTATTGCTACAACGCTACGAGAAGCTTGTGACAGTAATAGTGAAGTCATTTGATTTATCAAAGGCATTATAAAATTAAATTAAAGTCACAGTTTACCTCTAAGCAAATTGGTTTGATTTCTTTCAAAAATAAATAAATAAATAAATAAAAAAAAGAGAAGGCAACAAATTAAAAATTAAAAAAAATATAAACAAAAAAAAAAATCTGTAACATAATTTCAATCATAATTCATTCAATTTAATCATATTTCATATATTCATATTTATTTTTAATTATAATTTTAAATGTATAATTTCAATAATTTATTAATATAGTTTTCTGGACATTTCCCCCTTTTTCTGGTTGTTTTCTGGTCATATTTTACAAGTTTCTTGCTCATTGTCTTTTGCATTGCCAATGTCAACGAGCAATTTAATTAGCAAAAAAAAATATATATATATATATATAGTTAATTTTTATATTTTTTAAATGTATCTAGTAACATAATTTTAATTATTATCAAATAATTCAATTATATTTATATTTTTCATATTCATATATATTCATATTTATGAATTTATTTAATAATAATCTTAAATATGTAATTTTAATAATTTATAAATATAGTTTTCTAAACATTTTCCCCATTTTTTTAATAACTATTTTTTTTTTAGGTTATTTGTCATATTTTACCAGTTTCTTGCTCATTGTCTTTTGCATTGCCATTGTCAATGAGCAATTTAATTAGCAAAAAAAAAAAAAAAAAAAGTTCAAAGAAAAGAAATAAGAAAAAAATATGGTTAATTTTTGTATTTTTAAAATTTATACAGTGAAATAATTTTAATCATAATTAATTAATTCAATTATATTTATATTTTTCATATTCATATATATATTCACAATTCTTCATTTATTTAATAATAATTTTAAATATGTAGTTCTAATAATTCATGAATATAGCTTTCTTAACATTTTTCCCTATTTTTCCAATATTTCCTTTCTCTCTCTTTTTAATAACTATTTTTTTTTAGGTTGTTTTTTGGTCATATTTTACCAGCTTCTGGCTCACTTGCTTTTGTTCATGTTTGTTAAAGGAATCAAACTGACGCTCAGGTTTAAATGCTTGTGACAGGTGTCTGAATGCAGCACAAGAAAACCAATATCAATCCAGGCTTCAAGGGGTTAATTTGTAGTTTTTAAAAAAAGGTAGCTGTGGATCTATCCTGATGGGAAATATAAGTCCAAGGGATGATTGTACTCCAAGAAAGCTTCATGCGTTTCTCTCCTTGGCTTCACACCACACCAAAATGCCACTAGCTGCACTCGGCATAATCCACCAGAGGATGACATTTAGATATGAGCTCCCGTCACAGTCATTTCTCATCAAACCAGGACTTCCACGTCACATCAATAACCAGCCAGCAAGAAGAAACACACAGATAAGAGAAGGGAGAGCGTCACAGAGTCAGAGGAGAGGCAGGTTTATCAGAGGCATCTGCTAATTAAATAGAGGCTATGTGTGATGTCACAGCCGACACTTAGAAATAGTTTAGTGGAGCTCAGACCAAAAAGATGGAACAGATAGACTGAGATTAACTCCCCTCTACTCTCACAGTTACCTGGTAACCTGCTCTCATTTGCATCTGGGGTCTAAGTGTGTTTCTGTGTTTGATGTTTCCCTCACAGTGAAGAGGAGGAGGAGGAGGAGGAGGAGGAGGAGGAGGAGGAGAAGGAGGCAATGGAGGGGGAGGGGTGGGTTGTCCAGGTTACCAGAGGCCATTGAGGGTTATGAATGTTCCATTACAGCCCGTACTGCTCCGGGTGGTCGGCCCAAATGATCCTTCTCACTTTACAAATTGGACAAGACAGAACGTCGTCTGCTGCACAGATCCTTCTATCAGAGACAGCAGCACGGAAAACAACACACTGGTTAAGGCCTTTACACACCGGGGCCGTTTGTCTTTTTCTTCTTCAAACTTATTGTCATTTCACACAGAATGCAAATATTTCACTGCAAATTTTTGAGCATCAGTTCTTCTTTTACAACACCAATAAAGGCATCAACCAATCACGCTGTGCAGAATAGAGTCACGTCAAAACATCACGACCTGTTGCAAAATATTCACAGGAAAGTATTTCACATTTTTGCGTTGTTTATCAGCCACGCGTCGCCTCCGGAGTGCAAGGCTGTTACCGTTGGATTGGTTTCCGGTGTTGCTGGTGTGGTGCAGTGACGGAGTTTAAACTAGTTTGATTTTATGGATCAAGCTAAACCAGCATTTGTCTGGCAGTACCTGTGCTGATGATGTCACAGCGCTAACTTGTAATAAAGCTCAGTGTTAAGTTCAATCAGCTGACTATGGGCCTTCACTCTTCTAGTTATCCAATCAATCTTCGCCACGATCTTTATCAGCCAATCAGGATGCTACTGTTAAATTTCAAATCTACTCTTTCCTCTGCTGCTGTCAGCCGCCATTTTAGGCAAAACTTTCCCACTCTCCTCCAGCTATTGTACCCAGAGTCTAGGACAAGCTCAACTAAGACTCATCCAAATCCAAATCCCTCATCCAGATCATCAGCACTTCTCCATGTTCTTCACATCTTCACCTCATCTCATCTTCACCACCAGCATCTATTTCCTGGGGAGTTCCCTATTTGACTTTAGACTCATCACCGTCCTTAAATCATACCATCTCGATGGGTCTAATCTCCATAGACTTTGCACATTCTTATGTGCACATGTTAATAAATATTATTTTCACTATAAAAATGAGTCTCTCCTGATTGACCTGCATTAGTGATAAGCAACATGACAACCTGAATAACATGATGTTTCTTTATGAACGGACTAAAGGAGCCACTAGTGTCTGACAGGCTGTGAGCCAAACACAGCA